TCTCCCACTGAGCAATTTAGGAATGAAGTCACAAAAACCTGTAAACAGTAATGCTATACGCAAATGGCAAAAATATTTTTTTCTTTCTCATACAGTAACAATGGCCTGTCTTTAGGAACAGCCCAGTGTATATTACAATGAGATACAAAAGCTGTCTTTGGGATGGAGCTGTGGAATGGGGCTAAAACACCTAGGAAGGGAGAAGAGAGCAAAGATTAATAGGAATTTCAACCCTGAATGTTACTAAACAATCAACTTCAAAATATGGACAAATTCGCAAGGTTAGTGCGATTGACATTAAATACAAAAACCAGCATTTGAAAAGCTAAAACAATTTGAAGAAGTGTATCATTTTCGAAAATATAAACTTGGGTGATAACAGTGACTTTTGATTTACTTAAAGAGACTTTAAATAAATGATTAAATACTACAGATTTTATAGTTGCTTTATAGCTTAGTACACATGTAGCCCATTTCCAAACTATTTCTTTTATATTAATTTGATCCTTATTAGTGAAATTACTACTATTTTCTCTATCACTTCTCTTTTACTAAACATATAGAAAAACACAAACTTCTAACCTTCTGCTGTAAATGAGGAAGACAAGTGACCGCCCACAGGCTCACGGGGTCCCTCCTCTGGCTTCCCTCCAGAATCCAGGAGCAAAGTAATTTCCTGTTGCTATTGAAACCGCTCCTGACTATCAAACCATGATTTCAGGAGACGCGTAAATGAGGAAGGAACGTTCTGGAACCAGGTAAAGGCCTTGCTGCCCATTTTAGAACCACACACCGCCAGGTTTATAAAGTAACTGGAGGAAAAACTGAAGTGTAAAGGGATCAAGTGGGATGAACACAACAAGGAGGGAAAATAAAAGTATTGGGCAAATTTGAAATGTCTAATTAACATGATATATTAACTAAAAAATAATTGAAGCTTTCATTACATTTTAGTTAACAACAAACTTGACTTTATTAATGTTAAACTTAATTTTCACAAAAAAAATCTGAGAAAAATAGATCAGTTTTTTTAAAGATGAGAAACCAATACTCAGAAAGGTTAACCTGGTGCAAGGACTCCAACTTACAAAGCCGGAGCTGAGCCCAGAAGACCAGGGAAGAGCCCTTCATCTCTCACTTCACTCACTCCTTCTCCACGACGTTCATGTCTATCTCCTCAACACACTAGCGTTTTCCACTAGCAACAACGATTATGTACAGAAAATCTGTAACAAAGTGCTTGTTGCATAAATTAATAAATAATTACTGATTATACAAAAAGAATCAGCACAATAGCCGAGGCATGGGAGCACACACCTACAATCCTACACTCCAGCCAGGCAGTGGTGGCACACGCTTTTAATGCCAACATTCGGGAGGCAGACCCACTCGGATCTCTGAGTTCAAGGCCAGCCTGGTCTACAGAGTGAGATCCAGGACAGGCACCAAAACTACACAGAGAAACCCTGTCTCGAATAATAATAATAATAATAATAATAATAATAATAATAATAATAATAATCCTACACTCCAGAGGCAGAAGACAGAGGAGGCTGCAAGCCTGTGGACAATCTCGGCATTACCTTGAGTACCAAGCCTGCCAGGGTACATTTGACCCTCAGAAAATCAAAAAGAAGCAGTTTTAAAAATGAAGCTAAATAAAAATGCAAGAATACAAATAAATACTGAAATATTTTAGCAACTAAAATACAAAGAATTTATGATCTGAGAAACCATTTTAAATGTACTTATATATGCTTTATTTAAGCATCAACCTGTCAAAATTCATTATTATAGACATACTTACTGTATCTAAAAATATTTTAGTTTTTATAAGATTGTTATGACTTAAAAATTTTATCATAAAAAGCTATAATCAAAGTACATATTGATAATATTTTCCACACCTAATGAATGAGTGTGTGTGAGAATGTGTATGTTTCTTTAAATAGAAAATAGGTTGTTACATAATTAGTGGAATAAAAAATTTCCCACTACAAATGCAACATTCTCAAAATGCTATATCCTGTAACTACTATAATCTTTTAAAAATTCTTACGTCATGCTTAAAAGTCAAGCTGTACACATATTCCCACAACTAGTTTGCAAGGTAAAGAGATCAGTAAACTTACTTTTATGCCTAACATCTTTAACATTTGCTCCCCTTTCTGTGCTTGTGATTAAATGTAACATTCTGAAATCCCAAAGTTCTGAGAAAAACATAAATCCTTGTCTCACAGCTGCTGTTTAACTCTGGAAACACATGCATTTTCTTTTCAAGCATTTACCCTCAAAACTCCCAAAGGCTTTGGACTGGAGAACACCTGCATCTCTTCATTTAGTTCCAATAACAGAGCCCAAAGTCCAAAATTACAAAAATAGACTCTCTGTTCAGCTGTAGTTACATTTTGCTCCTAATTCCCATGAACAAAAATGCTAAGAGCATGAAATCATGCGGGCAAGCTCTGTCATCAAGAGGACAAGGTTTTTGCACCAGAAGCCCAGCGGGAACACGATAGAAACTGGCAACAATTACAGATGAAGTCCATAGTAAAGTCCTCAGGGAAGAGAGAGGAAATGTAGTAAGATAGATGGGTATAATTTTTACCTATTTATACACAAAGCACAAATGTAAATTGTCTTTAATTGGTCCAATATATAAACATTTCTAGTCAAGTGTCCTGTCAAAAATACTAAAAGTATAACTTCAAGGCAATTCACCTAATTTTCCATTATGAAGAGAATTCTGTGAAACAAGACATTTCCCTAATGAAAGCAGAGGTTCTTAGATCTCTTTAGAAATTCCTATCTGACCAAAGAACTTTGAATGGTGTGCAATTTCTGATATGTTTTAATCAACAAAAAGGTAGACTAATCCAGCTGAGCTGATTTTCTGAGTCCAAAATTGTAATTTTAACTTTCCACTAAAAAATAACAAGCCCCCCTTACTTATTTGGTAAGTAACAGATAAAATAATTTCCATTCATAAAAACCTAATAAAATATAAACCTTCATACTGGTTTATGAAATTAACGATTCTGGAGAATAAAAAGAATGTCTTAAATTTGCAATATTATGTTAAATTGTCAAAGATTATGTTACAAGAAACACTTTACATTATTCCAGAATAGCACTGAAAACACCTAATTCTATCTTTCCAACTCTAAAATGAAAATGGTGCTTTCAGTATTGTACAGAAAAGAAAACCTAGTGCTGCGTGTGGTGGCACACGTCCATAATCCTAGCACTCAGCAAGGACGAGGGGAAGGAACTCAAGTTCCAGGTCAGGTTGGGCTACAATGCAAGCCTGTATCAGTCACTTTGCTGTGGTTGTGATAAAGCACCGTGACTATGGCAACTTAGAAAAGAGTTCAGTTGGGCTTATGTCATGGTCAGTAAGAAGCCAGCAAGCAGCAGGCACGGCAGCGGGGACAGAAGCTGAGGCTCACGTCTTAAACCATTAGCAGAGAGTAGAGAGGGTGAACTGGAAATGGCTCCTGGCTTTGAAACCTCAAAGTGTGCTCCCGGTGACATACTTCTCCAACAAGGTCACACCTCCTAAACCTTCCCAAACATAGCCACCAACTGGGAACCAAGTGTTCAAATGCCAGAGTAATGGGGATTAGTTCACTCAAACCACCACACCCAGTATTTACAAAGGAGGGGGGGAGAGGGAGAGAAGGTAGGCAGGGAGAGAGAGAAGAGGAGGGAAGGGGAGGGGAAAGGAAGGAGGGAAGGAGAGAGAAAGGAAGGAAGGAAGGAAGAAAAAGAAAGAAAGAGAAAAAATTAAGCATGTACTTCAACTTGCACAAATAATTAAAGTCATCCAGACTTTCAAAGAGGTCCTGTCTATTAATGGTGAACAAACTAAACTAGGGTGCAGTCTACAAAGTTCAGTCTAGAATTTTCATTTTCATAAACTAATATAAATATATAAAATATAGGAAATTTTCTTTGTGAGAAAGTCATTTGTATGCGAAAAACAGCACTGCATCCAGTGGTACACAAATTAAAAACAAAGAGTAACTAAAATGAAGTCTATACGAGTCTGAGAAATTCATGCAGAAATATCCTTGTGTTATGTAGAATTCTGTGGTCCATTTGGAGCACTGTTGTAAGTGTCAGTTTCAAACAGACAGAGGAAACCCACATGAGAGTGAACTTAAATCACACAGGAAATGGCTGACACTTATTGATCATGTTTAGACCTGTGGAAGGAAGGAAGGAAGGAAGGGAGGGAGGGAGGGAGGGAGGGAGGGAGAGAGGGAGGGAGAGAGGGAGGGAGAGAGGGAAAGACAGAGAGAGACAGAGAGAGAGCAACTAATCTTATATATAAGAAAAAGAAGGAGATATTCAGTCAGTGCTAGCAAATCAATGGACTATGAAATAGAGAAGAAAAGTTCGTGCTGATTTTAAACACTTTTAATATATTTTGGGAAAAGTCATTAAGGTATGGCTGAAATTTGGAGGCTGATTCTAAAAAAAAATAAATGGACACAGATATATAAATACATAGTTAATTGGTAACAGAAGTATTGATGAGATCATCAAATAGCAAGAAGGAGAATGAGAGCATCATCTTTAGAACAACCTATTCTTGGGTCTGGAAAGATGGTTGAGAGGTAAAGACTACATACTTCTATTTCAGTAGATGCAAGTTCAATTTCTAGGACCCACACTGAGCAGGTCACAACTGCCTATAAAACTCTAGCCCAAGGGGGATCCAATAACTCTGGACTCACGTGTACATACCCACACAACACAATTCCCCCAACATACACATACACACATACACAATTATAAATAATAAAAAGAAAAAATTTAATGACATATACTGGGGGATGAGGAGATGGCTCACTTGGTAAAGGCAGTTTCTGTCAAAATAAAACGACCTGAGTTCAAATCTCCAGCACACATGGAAAACACTGGGAAGGCACATGTGCCAGCAATGGAGGGCAGACAGGAACTCACTGGCCAGCCACGCACGTACAGTGAGAGAGCCTGTCTCAGGAACAAGATGCAATAAAACTGGAACTGTACACAAATAATTAGCTTGTCCCTGCACAAGGATGACATGCAAGTTCATTAAGTATTCAATAATTTAAAATAAAGTGGAAAGCAATACAAAAAGACACCCAATGCACGTACATATGCCACCTACCCGCACAAATATAAATAATATGACCTATACTTAAGGAAGAAAAGAGAGAACTATCCTGGCAGGGAATTGTTTGTTTGTTTTTAACGTGGAGCAAAAAATGACAACATTGTTCTGGTATCAAGAACTATGAGGGCCTGAGATGTTTCTAATCAGGTGTGTGGGTGCTGAGGAAGAAAAGACGCCCCAGTCAGGGCCTAATGTCAGTTACCACAGAGGAAGCACAACTGTGATACCAATACAGCTGCCTCAGCTACTTTGTTCCCATGTTCCCAGACATCGTGACACAAACAGATATGTGTGCATGCCAAAGACACACACGATAGGAACCTGAGTCGGGGAACTGATTGTTTTAAGATAGGCGATAAGTCCTTTGATTCCTAAAGGAGATACTATATGTTATCTTTCAAAGCTATAAACTACACAGACATCTTGGAAATGATAATCCAAAACAAAAGTTAGTGGCTGCACTCTCGGGATTTGTAAACAACATTTCAGGCCTATGGAGACTAGTATGCTAACAGAGCCGAGAAGGACCAAGGTTTCCACAACAAAGGCAAGATCACAGAAGAAGATGTTCAGAGAAAGCTGAGAAGGTAAGTTTCAGGAGGCACACTGAAGGCTGACATGTCATTTCATGTCACTGTAAAGAGTAAAGCCAGAACAATGCAAGTTATAATCCAGTGAATATGCTATCTAGTGGCAATTAGAACTATCAGAGGAAGACATCAGCAGACATTCTCTACCAGTACAGTTACCTGCTAAACAGTGGAAAGAAGAGGATGAGAAAGCTAGTACATATTAAAAACATACTATTGGTCTATCAAACACATTCATAAGCTTGACTATTTGTCATGAATGTTCACTCATTTATTCATTACCCGCCAAAACATCTCAAGCATTCTTTACATGTCACACAATGTAAGGACCTGAATAACAAACATGTGACAAACATCCAGTAACTAACTCTGGAGAGCACTGTCAGATAGAGAAAGACAGATTATGTAAATGTGTACTGCCACCAAAGGTAAGAGAGAAAAATATATGCAACTATGACAAACAGTAACAGACCTATTCAAACTGGGGGGATGGAGGAGTTTCAGAGAAAGAGGGAAAAACTGGATAGAGATTTTAAGACTGAATGGTGCTAAGCACAGAGAGAAAGAACAAGGACACTCTGTGAGTTCGAGGCCAGCCTGGGCTACCAAGTGAGTTCCAGGAAAGGCGCAAAGCTACACAGAGAAACCCTGTCTCGAAAAAAAAAAAAAAAAAAAAAAAAAAAAAAAAAAAGAACAAGGACAGATGTTAAGAATTGTCAACAGGAAAAAAACCAGTATATGCAGAAAACGTAATTACAGTAAGAAACAGGGAGAAAAACCAGGCCAGTAGACCTGAGCCAACCAAAAGGGGACATGTGAAAAAAGGTCTCTGAACACTGGCCTAGAGACAGCACCCAGGAACTTGGGGTGTACACAGTCCTCCAAGATTACTTTATATTTCTACACAGTACACACTCTATAACCAACTGCTATATCAATAACCACACTTAATAAAAATGCAGAGCTTTTTAAAACAGCAAGCAGAATTTGCTATAAAAGCAAAACACAGCATATAAAAAAGCGAGAGTTTATATATAAAAGATGAAGAGTTTATCTAAAACTAATTTTAAAGTATTATCTATAAATAAATTACAGTGATCAAATGCTTCCACTTATGAAAAAGTCACAGAAAAACCTGTTTGTCCACTTCTAGTAACATATAGGAACATAACAATGTTCACATCATTAAACAGTCATACCAAAGGGGGACCATGAGGATAGCATGTGAACTGGCATGCTAAGACCACACAAGAACTCTCAGGTGCTTCCCTGTAAACATAGTCTGTCAAGTGGAGAGAGCATCCCCACCCCCGGGGAAGGAGGGTGCAAGGGGAGCTGCTGAAACTTCAAAGGCAAAGCAATGCTGTGAGATTCTCAAGTGAGGCTTTCTGAGACAATGCTATAAAGGGAAAGGGGGACTCTTCGAAGTTAGGAACTTTTTTAATTGAAAATAGATTTTTTTTCCCCCATATTCTGATTAGTGTTTCTCCTGCCCCAACTCTTTCATTCTCTCCTTAGAAAACAAGAAGGGCAACCATCATCATCATCATCATCATCATCATCATAATAATAATAATTAAAAGAAACAAACCAGATAAATGGGATAAAACAAACAAAAGAGCCAAAGAAAAAGCACAAGAAACACATAGATGCTGAAACACAAACATGCACATACAGAAACCCTATTTAAAAAAAAAATTGGAAACCACAATATATAAGCAAAAGATCTATAAGGTTAAAAGGGAAAAAAACTCAGACAAAGCACCTCCAAAATCACCATTAAGTTTGTTTTGTGTCCGCCATGTATCGCCGAAGGGTGGGGGATGCACATGGGCCCTGCCTCACCATCTGCCAGTCACACAGCAATAAACGGATTCCTAACAATACTCTGCTATACTCATGGATCCATGCCTTGGATCATCAGAGAAGCATCTTCCTGCAGCAGATGGGAACAAATACAGAAAACCCCAACTGGACAATGTGTACAGTACATGACCTTGAAGCACTAAGTCCTAAATGAGATGTCTCCATCAAATCTCTCCCTCAGGTTCAGAAGACTCTGTAGAAGAGAAGGCAGAAAGATTCTAACAGCCAGAGAGGATCAAAGACACCAAGGATTTTTTCTTTGGTCAAGGCCTTGTAGACCCCAATACTGACACACCCACGAACTCAGAGAGACTGAGGCAGCATGCACAGGTCTAAGCCAGACAGGGTCCCAGCACTGAGAAGTTAATACTTCAGTCTAGAAAGGCTGTTTATAAACTGGTTACCTTTCTTTCATTCAGATATCCTGACTTATAATTTGGCTATAACATCAGTGATACCCAAGCACAGATGCACACATTCAATTCAAATCCAGGTTCCTGTTCAAAAGATTTATCAATCTCACATTGAAACTAGCTCTATAAAAATATTTACGTGTGCCGTACTATATCCTAAACCATGAATATGGTTGGTAGTTCCAAGGTGGGTAGAAATTTTTATTTTAAAATACCCAGAATAAAGAAATAAAAAATACATTACATTTAAGGAGTAAAATAAGCCCAAAAGAATATTTCTTTAAAAACCAAATATATGATTACATTAACATTTTACACACAAGTCCATAAAAATACCACCAAACATAAATCTGAACATGATTATGTGAATTTCCTTAACACCATGAGAAATTTTTAAAATACCACCAAAATAAATCTGAATATGATTATGTGAATTTCCTTAACATCATGAAAAAATTATAAAATTTGAACTGATAAGTACCCTAAATGTCACAGATAATTTTTCTTATACCAACTTGTTTTTAGACTGCTTTGTAACTTTGTGAGACGCAAATAAATTTTGTAACCCTAAGAATGGTCTTAAATTATCATTAATATTAATACTAATATTGCTAGGAAAAAGATTGCATTATTATTTAAATATGTGTGGCTCATTATTTCTAATTCTGGACGTGGGAAAATAGAAAGTAGAAGACTGTAACTCAACAGTAAACAGAGGATGCAAACACCACTGTGCTTTACTGTGTGGCCACACGGAGCCTGAATGGTCTGGGGAGCTCAACACCCTGACAATTTCAGGATTTGAACACAAAATCTAACTAAAACTAAAGCATGCATAACTGTGCAAAGGTGCTTAATTTTATACAGATTTTTAAAACATGATTAAATAGACGTTAACAAAGGTATTTTATTGAATCACCATGCCTACCTCTCTGTACAGGGGTTAGGAAGCCCAAAGGCCAAACTAGCCACTTTCCATCTTAGTAGATGAAGTTGTGTGGGAACACAGCCACAGCCACTGATTTATGTTCTGCCAATGGATATTTTTGTGCTGTAAGAGCAGGACAGTTAAGAGACCATTTGAAGTCAGACAGTGGTGGCGCACCCCTTAATCCTAGCACTTGGGAGGCAGAGGCAGGCGCATCTCTGTGAGTTTGAGGCCAGCCTGGACTACAGAGAGAGTTCCAGGAAAGGCGCAAAGCTACACAGAGAAACGCTGTCTTGAAAAACAGAGAGAGAGAGAGAGAGAGAGAGAGAGAGAGAGAGAGAGAGAGAGAGAGAGAGAGAGAGAGAGAGACCATTTGATTCAAAAGATTCTCTCTGCCTTAGAATACTAGAAAAATATTTTGTCCATAGTTACCATCCCATGCTTGTATCAGTTGGTGTTCAGCACACTACTATTATGAACTAAAGCCTTCCTCTTTAAAGAAGATAACTCCTATAAAAAAAAAACTGCTTTTCTTTATTGGAATTTATTAACTAACAAAGTGCTTCATTTTATTGCAATTCCGAGTGCATGCATGCATGAGTGTGCCATTTCCTTCATCCATTCACCTGGTGATAAGCATATATGGAATATGTGCTGATTCTCTACTTGACTTTATAAATAATGGGAAAATAAACATGGGCACAAAGGTATCTCTGTAGTAAGCCAAGAATGACTCTTTAAGGCACATGTCTAGAAATGTGCCTTAAAGCACATGATCTAGAAATACCTGAATCATGAAATACTTCCATTTTTAACTGTCAGCAGGAAACCTCTAAACTGATTCCTACAGTGACTAAACCAACCTACATTCTCAACAACACTATATTACCATTCCCTTCCCTATATCCATATAAACATTTGTTCATGTCTTGTGACTGATAAAAATTCTGAAAGGACATGTATAAAAACCTTTCTTGTCATTATTTCCTCAAAACTGTATGTGTATTGCATTTGTATTACATTAGATATTATAAAAAGAGAAAAATTTAATTCTGACTGAGATAAGACAGAATTCCAGTGTAGTTGAGATGTGGATTTTCATGGTAGCTAAAGATTCTAAAGATGTTCTCATATGCTTAT